TTGGACCAATGACTGGACGTGAGGGACGAGGAATCTGGAGGAGGTTGTGAGCCTTCACTCATTGTTGTGTTTGTTTATTCATTTGTGCGATAGTGACATAATCTGGTGCAAACGAGACTATTAAGAGTGAAGGCATGGAATTTAGCCTGCCAATCAGGTTTCATCTTGATGACCTCATCTGGAGGTGTTATGGAGATAAATAGCTCACTGGAGGGGAAACACAGGGCCTCTCTGCTTTGTATTCCTGATGACAAGACACATCGAGCTATGCTAGAGCCCTGGAACTGGAGAAGCTACGTGGAGACCCACGCCAGCACTGAGATACTTCCACTGCCACTAGATCCAGAAGACTTTCCACCCACTGGCCTGCGATTCCTGCATTCAGCATCATTGCATGTGTTGCATGAGTTTGGAAGAGGAATTTATAGATTGGTATCGGACATACGGGTTAATATTGGATTTATGGACTTAACTCAGACTGGACTGGGATATTTTCTTAATGTACAATTGCTCTTTGATATAAAGTTCTCTCTCACACACATAAGAGTTTCCCTGGATTTGTTTCTCTAGTCAGCCTGGACGAACACGATTTGCTTTGGAGTTTTAAAGAAGCATATTCTATAGAGCGGCACAGCCCATCTCAACAAATGAACCCCTGATAACATCCCATTAAAACCCCATGAGGGCTCTTTAAAATGGCTAACTTTATGTTACATAGATATCATCATTATTATTATTTTATTATAGTATTATTATCATTTATTATAATATATTATTATTTAAAATCCACTAAACCAAATAAATGAACAACAAATTTAAGTAAAGTTTAAGTGGTTTCCACTAACAAAAGAATGACTAAGGGAGATGATGTAAGATATGAAAATAATCATCTATAACTTATCAAGGGTTCGTGAGGGAGGGCGGGCAGGGGAGGGAGGGAGGGGGAAGAAATGGGGAGCTGATATCAGGGGCTCAAGTGGGAAGAGAATGCTTTTAAATTGATGATGGCAGCATACGTGCAAATGTGCTTGACACGCTAGATGAATGTATGGATTGTATTAAGAGATGTAAGAGCCCCCAATAAAAGTATTTTTTTAAATGACTGAGGGAGGACTTGACTAGAGGCCCAATGTCCATCTGCTACCTTGACACTTAACATACAAATATATTTACATAGATTTATATCCCTACCGTCATATATTAATATATTTACATATATACATGCCTATATTTATACCCCTATAAATGCCCATTTGCCTCCTAGCTCTTTCCTCTATTTCCTTTTCCTTTCCTCCTGCCCCACTATCATGTTTGATCTTCATTCAGCTCTCAGTAATTCCTCTCAGATACATTGCACTTGTCAAACCCCATCAGGCATTCTATACCCTCCTCACCCATTGAGTCCTCCCTCAATACAAGAACACTTCGTTCTAACAACCTGGCATTCTTTGATGCTCACCTTCCCACCATGATCACTGAAGTCAAAATGGGTATATAAGCAAGTGTGGTGAAGAAAGATGATGGTGCCCGGCTATTAGAAGACATAGCATCTGGGGTCTTAGAGGCTTGAAGTTAAATAAGCAGCCATCTAGCAGGGAAGCAACAAAGCCCACATGAAAGAGCACGCCAGCCTGTAGGATCAGGAGGTGTCGACGGTATCAGGTTATCAGAAGACCCAAAACAAACAATCATTTCTATGCAAAACGAGGTGGATCAGAGGGGAGACCCAAAGCCCATCTATAGACAATTGGACATCTCCTCACAGAATTGTCACAACTAAGGGTCGAGCCAGCCAGGGTGCAGTATAGCACCAACACACAATATTCCTCTAGCTCTTTAATGCTTCCTCCACCACCACCCTCATCGTGACCCCAGTTCTACCTTATAAATCCGGCTAGACCAGAGCATGTACACTGGTACAGATCAAAGCTCTCAATGCACAGAATCCAGGACAGATAACCCCCTCAAGAACAATAATAAGAGTAGCGATACCATGAGGGTAGGGGGAAGGTATGGGGAGAAAGGGGAGAAAGGGTACCCAATCACAATGAATGACGTATTATACACACACACACACACCGGGGACGAACAACAGAAATGTGGGTGATGGGAGACAGTGGACGGTGTAAGCTATGAAAATAATAATAACATAATTTACCAAGGGTTCACAAG